TGCATGTTTACTGATCGAGTTTTCTTGTTGCTGCTGCAGTGCTGGTGAATGGATTCGTCTGCAAAGACCCCAAGCACGTGACAGCCGAAGACTTCTTCTTCATGGGACTCGACAAAGCCGGCAACACGGTAAACAAGCTCGGCTCCATGGTCACTGCCGTCAACGTGAACAAGCTCGTCGGACTCAACACCCTCGGCATCTCCATGGTTCGCATCGACTACGGGCCCAAAGGCCTCAACCCTCCCCACACTCACCCCCGTGCCACCGAGATCCTCACCGTCATAGAAGGACAGCTCTTGGTCGGCTTCGTCACATCCAACACCGACGACGGCAACCGTCTCTTCACCAAGATGCTGAAGAAGGGCGATGTGTTTGTGTTCCCTGAGGGCCTCATCCACTTCCAGTTCAACCCTGGGCACACCAAAACTATCGCCATCGGTGCTCTCAGTAGCCAAAACCCCGGCACGATCACCATCGCCAACGCTGTGTTCGGGTCGAAGCCACCCATCTCCGACGATGTTCTGGCCAAGGCTTTCCAGGTGGACAAGAAGACCATCGACTGGCTTCAGGCTCAGTTCTGGACGGACAACAACAACTAAATCTTCATTCTTGCAAGTTGACATGACATGACATGCATAAAATTATGTGCTTTAAATAAGCAAACAGTGGATAACTATTTCCATTTGTTTTTGTGATAGAATATGGCTTCTATGTTATGGAAACTGTCTCTTACTTCGTACCAAACAATTGAGTCCTGATGTTATTTTGTATCCTGAGATGTCTTTTGGGTCCACTTTGAATGCACAAAATCATATGATTTCGTGTTAGGTAGTTTAACGTAAGTATCGTACTCTAATCTTACGACAAGGTACGATAATAATAATAATAATAATAATAATAATAATAATAATAATAATAATAATAATAATAATAATAATAATATCATATATTTAGGATAACAATATGAATCTTATGACAAGATACTAATATAAATCCCATCATTTGAAGAATAATGAAATCAAGATGTTATTTGAATCAAATTTTATTTCTTACCTAAGAGATGTCTTTTGGGTTCTCAGACTTTATATTAACAAGAGATATGTTAAGATAATATTTATATTAGTCACGTAGATATTGTTTAACAGTTGAATCTATGATAATTATAGTGTATGTTATGATAGGAAACATGTTAATGACTAATCATCATCCTTCATCATGTGAAGGCTAATCTAGAAAAAAAGGGTCTCACTCACCCTTCATCAGTTTGTCCACATGGACAACAATCTAAGGGAGATCATTTGGCCCTATCTCCCTTCTTTCGTCCAATTTAATAAATATCAAATGTGAATATTGGGACAGTTATAAGCTATCCCATTTGTAGACTAGATATAAAAGCTAATCGTCAGCATCATGCCAAGAGGTTCGTTTTTTTTTTAGAAAACACATACCCAAAAAGTATCTTTTGCTAACTTGAACGTCGGAAGGATCAGATCGAAAGATTTTTTTAACATCGATCTTAGTACAAGTATCACCTCGGAGCCACTAAGGATATGTTACAACCCTTTTTTCAAGCTTTTGAATAATGTTTATTGAGTCTGTTTAGTCCAGTTATTTATTGAGTACGTTTGGTTCAATTAAAGTCAGGTAGAGATTTATTTTATATTTATTTATTATTAAGAAGTCCTGATGGACCATAGGTGGAACTCTATAAATAGTGATGAAACCCTTTCTTTTAAGGAATCAATTAATCACTGAAATATTATTCTAGTTTGTTATGACGTCGATCCCCTCGAAGTGATCAAGGAGGCCGATCCCCTCGAAGCGATCTTTCTTCGACGATAAGACCATAAGGGTCTTATCATTTGGTATCAGAGCAACGATCTAATTCTCGGCGTTCTCTGTAGTGTTGTCATAGCTATCAAAAAGAAAAAAAAATTGTGTGAGGAAGGGTGAAGTCGACAGCCACGAACACCAATCCTTCTCAACCGAGAAGAAACCTCTGCATCTTGGTCAGCAACCACCGTTGCCCCTTCTCCACCGTCATCGCTATTGCCCACTGCCCCATTGCTGCAGTTATCTTCGTCTTCTAAAAAAAAAAAAAAAGAAGCCGCAGCCACCCCTGCTTCTCCTGCTTCCGACCAGCTCACCCCCCACCGCTGCTTCCCGACCGAGGGACCACCACTGTTGCCGTTGTTGCCCAGCCAGCAGCCACCGCCGCCGCCGCTGCCCCCACCCGGCCAACGACCTCTCCTCCTTGCTTCCCCATCTCGCTCAAGCGAGAAGGATTGCCGGCGCCATTTCCTAGCCAGCGGACCACTCCATCGCCGTTTCTACCATCGGCGATGCTGCCCTAGTCCGCCATCATGTCGCCACCCCCCTTGGGTCGCAGCCGCAGCCCCTCCTTGCAGCGGTTGCAGAAAACAGAGCTTCCTCTATTGCCGCAGCCCCTCATCGATCCCAGCCAGTGGACCACCCCATCGCCGCTTCTACTATCGGTGACGCTGCCCTACTCCGCCATCGTGCTGCCCCCCTCCTTGGGTCGCAACCGCAGCCGCAGCCGTCGGTTGCCGCAGCCCCTCCTTGTAGCGATTGTAGAAACAGAGCTTCCTCTATTGCCGCAGCCCCTCGTCGATCGCAGCCGCGACCCTCGCTACCTCCTTCTCCACAGCCGTCGCTGCTCCCTAGCTAGCAACCTCCCCTTCTCGCGGTGACCAAAACAGGGCAACCGAGAAAGGGCTGTCGTCGCCATTCTCGGCCAGCGGACCACCCCCTGGCAGCACCTAGCCTCGGCGACCCTTTGTTGCTTCTCGCCCTTGACGAACTTGCTCCTAGCTACACCGCCACTGCTACCTCTCAACCCCAACAGCAACCTTCCCTTCTCGCAGCGATAGAAACAGAGCATTGTTTCATGTTTCCAATCGTGCCACCACCGCTTCCTCTACTTCCGGCTAGCAACCACCGTCGTCGCTGCACTCCGGCCAGCAACCACCGTTGCCGCAGTCGCCCTCCAGCAGCACACACAGCAACCGCAACAAGTTCTTGTGCGGCCCTTCCTCAAACCCGGCAACGAACACACCGACTCCTCTTTTCAACCTTGGCTGCTTCAATGCCGCCCTTCCTCGCCGCTGTTTCCCGTCCAGTGGACCAAACCCCTCATCGCTTCTACCATCGGCGACGCTGCCCCCCTTAGGTCATAGCTGCAGTCGCTCAACCATCCCTCATCGCGGCGATCAAAACAAGGCAATCACGACCGCCGCAGCCACCGTAGTTTCCTTAATCGCACGCAATCCCTTCGCGTTACTAGCGCCTCCTTCTGCAGTGCGATAGAGACAAAGCAATGCTGCCTTCCATCCGTGCCATCATAGCCACTGGCGCTCTCACCCCACACAACTGCAACCACACTGACACAGTCGCCTTCTAGCCCTCGACGCTCTCACCCTACGCAATGACAGAAACAGG